ACGGTTGGTGAAGCGGCTGGGATAACTGGGCTTGAGGACCAGTCAAATGCGATTTTGGACTTAGAATCTGAGGGGTCTGTATCTTCAAAAAAAGTGTAAAAATTACCATAGAGAAAGTGGAGTGTTTTTAAATTCTGAGTTGAATGAGCCTAACATGTTTTTTGAGTCAAGTGAAAGGTGCTCGACGTCGCCGGCGCACGGACCAGTTGGCGACGTCGAGCACTTCTATATTATACTGAAAAAAAAAGTTGGCCTCATTCATCTTAGAATTCGGAAATACACAACTTCATCTATACGACTTTTTACACCTTTTCTAAAAGTTTCAAGGTCTCGGATTCCAAGTCCAAAGATTTGGCGGGTCCACCAAAAATGATGACCAGTTGTTCCAGTCGTTCTAGGAAGCTTTTTGATCCCTCAGCTCGTCTCGTGATCAACAGCTGACTAAGAACGACTGGTTGCGAGTCTAGCAGCCCGGGGCTGGAGGTTGAGCTTTATGTTTTAACCTTGGTTGGCGTAAAGCTTCGCGGCGTTGGTCAGCGCTCAAGCCACCAAGAACCCCCCTGAAGTCCCGCGAGTTGGGCAAATAACTTGTGAATCACCGAGCAAGATGAAGGTCTTGAGCCCTAAGCCCTACACGATGATCACAAGGGCCCTGATAGAAGCAGCTGCTTGTCTAGCTCGGACAGCACTGGAAAGCCTTTTAAGGTCGGAGCCCCACACTAAGTTCTGAAAACTGTGCGTAATTGGCATTTCCCGACGGACAACTTACCGGCTTCTACTGATTAAAAATCGGTTACCCCAACGGATGAGCTTGGAATGCATTGCAGACTGAGTATCATTAATCAACGTTCCAAAAAAAAAAAAAAATGGCTTGCCAAGCTTGATCGGCGTTTGCCGATGTCGCAGTGGCCGTGTTTGGTTGATTCATTGATTGATCCGATCACCGCAGCTCTCTCTGTCTCTCAAGCAAGTAACGTGTTCCAGGCAAGCTCCTGCGCGGAGCAATGGGACTACTCTGCGGACTATAGCTTCCTATCCGCGAGACCCGACTTGTTTCGTGATCTCTGTGACTCAATCCCTGCTTGCCACTCTTGTTCCAGCCCAGTCGCCCAGACCGACTCAGCTCTCTGCAGAGCTGGCTTCATTATCTCGGCTAGATTCAGGTGTCCTGAATCTTCTTTTCAGTCTTATCGTCGTTCATATGGCAGGAAGGCACAGCTGAAGGCCCACTCTTCTTAATCCGCATAATGCACAGTCAGAAGCGGAGACGATATAATCTATCTTTGTCCTTCGTCCAGGCTGTGACTGATTTTCGCACGTTGTATCCTGTTTTTCATCCATTCCACCATGGTTACATGATGCGTGGATTCCAGTGGATTGGCGCGGCTCCTGCGCCGCTTTATCTGAAGAGTACATATAGCCTATCACAGTTCACACTGCGCTCAAGAACGGTCCAACAGAAGGTTCTCTTTGATACTTATCTCACTTCCTTTTTTAGCTACAGACAGCAGGCTGACGCAATCTGTTACAGGAGGCCAGCGGAGTTGAAAGAGCTCTATGCCAAGCATAAATAACGTCCTGATATGCTTCAAGAATTCTTGCTGGGTGAGTCGGCTTTTCCGGACATTTCACGTTTCGCCCAGGCGCCCGCCGACATCCTGTGTCATTTACCTCGATCAGTCTTCTCAAGAACGTACGGATCCTGTTGATAGGTATTCTTGGTGCGATGCTGTGATTTCAGATGATTAACCCTATCACACTATACGCCATACGAACGCTGGACCGCGGGTGTCCAATTATCAAGCAAGTTCAAGTTGCGACTCGGAGTATCCGGGTGTTCTGTAGGTTGTTTGTCGCTGCTCTCCAAAACTCATTAGGCCGCTGGCATTCTTGTGGGAGCCTATCTGACCGTTTCATCTTTCCTTGGAGTCTGCCGTGTATCATCGGCCTTAGGGATATTAGGGATCAGTAGACCTGGCGATGATAAGGCAGTGCGTGTCGTTTTTGCCGCTCACATATATGCTTGCAGAGCGCCTGATATCGCCTCCCCTTTACCCACCAACACCATGAACTATGTTGTCGACTCTGCTGAATTCGAGGACCGCTGGACGACCATGTTGTTCACGGTCTCGGTAAATTCTGTAAGTCACGCCCAGGAGAATAGTCGGGATGAGATCTGATGCGTCCCTCGCAGACAGTGCTATTACTCTACGGTGAATAATTCTCCTCAAAACATTCCTGCCTGGAATTTGAGCCTGGGCATAGCTCTTTACGTGGTTCTCTTCAGTTTTTCCATATACACTCTGCGTCGGCGCACCCCTGCCGCCGCGAAATTCCTCCTTGTCCCCGCATGGATCATGTTCCTCCTCGCGACTTGCGGCACGGTCATTGTGGTGACGACGACCGAGTTATCTATGCGCATGAATTATCTGCTCGTTCAAGGCTCAAGTGATAGTTCGGCGCGTCTTCTCCGTCTCTATCACGCGCTCGCACTGGGCCAGGATGTCATTCTGGCAGTCAACAAGTGCGTGCATTGTCCGGTGGACCGTTGGACCTCTCTCACGGAATACCCAGTTTGGTGACGGACTTGCTGTTTGTGGGCTCCCCCCCTCCTCAGGTTGCTCCCTAACTCACATCCGTATCAGTTATATCGCTGCTATGTAATCTGGGGATCACGGAAAAGAATCTTGGTCGTTCCGGGGGCGCTTATTCTCGCCACCGTGGGTGCGTCGATTTCACTCCTCCTCCACTCCGTTTGATATGACTCGGGCCCCCCCAGTTGTCGGATGCATATCTGTATTACGGTACTACGGGGTAATAACCTCGACCTCGTACATCGACACGAGAGTACCCTTCATCATGGGAGGCGCCACGAATATCCTGTTGATGTGCCTTACAGGTATGGCGACGCAGCTGCGGGTTCCATTTACTGAAATAAGCGCTTAGCTGGCCGAATATGGTATATACGGCGTAAGGGACAACTGTTGCCCGGGCAGACAATTCGGAAACGATATGATACTGCGGTGGCCATCATGTGCGTTGGTTTCTGTGCAGGCGATGAATACACAGTGCATTCTCTGACGCACTCTCCCAGACTCGAGTCCGGGCTCATTTACTGCCTTTGTGTAATAATCTATATCATCTCGGTGTCCGTAAATAACAGCGGTTCGCCATTCGTGAGTCCGCTCCAGCGACGGCATCCCTCCGCAGTGATTAAACCTTCTCAGGCGACTATATTCAATGGTGTCTCATGGGGTCTTGTGCAGCTGGGAGTCGTGAGTTTGCGCCCTACTAGTGTATTTTCAACCGTGATCTAACGTATGTACTCGTTAGAATATTGTGCCGACGCTCATCCTCGTCCGCGTTGGACTGGGTCGCAGTACTGAAAACACTGCCCCGTTTACCATGGAGCGTACGACCCTCACCTGGAACACATCATCATCGCGAACACCGGATCGAAAGCGAAGCGCGACGTCGACGGACGGGCAGCTAGTTCAAGGGAAATCGGATTCCAGAGATGGATGGCCTCTGACTGGGCTGAAGACGCCTTGATGATCTTGACTGGACTTGTTGTTATAACTAACCATGTATTGAGATATCCATATTTTCTTGGTTCGAGGTTCGATTATATCAAGTGGATTTCCAACATGAAAACACGACTCTGACTAACACAAACTTACCCCGCCGGCGCTTTCAGCTACTGCACCTCCATCCGCTCGTCCACCAGGCTGGCGAAACGATGCGGCTTAAAATCCAGATACAGTCGCCGGTTATGCGCCTATGTAGGACAGCTGGCTCGGAGAGATTTGGGCGCGTACTTCGGCCCGGCCTCGATGTATTCGAGGCTGGGTCATCCTGATGTTTTCATTTCTTTAAAAATGCATCGTTGCCCCCGGCTCAGCTCCATTTGATGGCATTTGGCTCATAGCTCTCTATTCAGCGTAGCATTCAGCTTCCAGCAGTATGGACCTAGTGGTGAAGTAGTATCGCATCCGCTTACCTTTCGTGCGTTCGACACAAGAATTTCCGCGGAAGACACCCTTTTGATTCGGGTTTGGGTTATAAGTTTGCGCTGCCCATTTTTGCCCGCTTTCATGTGATTTTGTCATCGTTCCGTGGGGCTCGTAGCTTTATTCAAGCTCGCATTTCTACGTTGAAGGACCCAGTAGCGAAATGGTTCGCGTTGGGGTAGTGTCTCTGGATGCGCTCTCGGGTGCCGCCAGGGAATCCAGCAATGTCGCGGTGCGTGGATGAAAGCAAGGTGCAGATCTGCTCTAAACATGCGCAAACTGCTGACTAATAGGCCCGAATGCCGCCGGATCTGTCCGTGCGCACTACCGCAGCGTCCGCTTTATCTTCGAAGGTCCTCACGCAACAGATTCCGCGGGAGGCACCCGTTCGATCCGGGTCTGGGTCATGCCTGAATTTTCAGGACTTTTTTCTCTTCGGTTCATTCTACTTTTTTGGTAACGTTCCCTCAGACTCAAAGACTGCAGTGCTCGTCGACTCGCATGCGAAGAGAGAATACGAAGGAGCACTGTGCCTTGAACATATTTCAATCCTGCTACAGTACGAGAGGTGTTACTTCACGTCTGAATCGTCCTCCCTTCATGCGCTGCTACCTCAAGCTGACATTTCTATATACCAGCATGGGTCCAATGACGAAATAGTATTTTTCCCTGCCTAGTTTAGACGATGGGCAAAGTATTTCCACAGAGGACACCCGTTCGATTCGGGTTATGATATCTTTATGTTTTTTTCTTCTTTTCCCTCACTTTTTTTTTTACCCTTGGCCGGCTCCGATCAATAGTGCAGTGGCTGTCTTTTCTTTTCTTTGTGTTGATCTTTCGGTCTTCACTTTTATTCTGACATTAGTTTACATCCAATCGTTCCTCCACGCTCATGCAATGCGTTTTTTGGAGGACCAATCACAGACCGACCGGTGATGTTGCGGATGCCACGCCATGGATGCCATTCGAGTGAGGATATTTGGGTACATGGATCCAGTGGCGAAGTGGTTTCGCGTCCGCCTAGCTTGCCAAGTTAGTTGATGTTCTGCGGAAGACACCCGTTCGATTCGGGTCTGGGTCATATCCCCTCTCTATCCCTTTTTCCTGATTTAGTTCGTTTGATTTTTTGTACACAAGTGCTCACAGCACTCTCTCCTCAAGGAGGCTTTCCTTACAGCGATATGGACCCAGTGGCGAAGTGCTATCGCATCCGCTTACCTTTCGGTGTGGATAAAATCTTTCTGCGGGAGACACCCGTTCGATTCGGGTCTGGGCTATGCAGTGGTGTTAATGTCATTTTCTCAATTTTCTCAATTTGCCTCACTTCTTCTTATCGTTCCCTGGAGCCCACGGAAGAAACATCGTAGCTTGACCGCACGTTTTTGAGGTCAAAGCGAATAAAATATAAATTAGTGGCAAGTCTAAGATATTCCACTGGCGTTGAATTTCCTACTAGTACCTGTACTGTAGGGCGCGAGGAGAAAATGAGCGCGCGCGCGCGCTCCACTCCACCTCCCCACTATCCACGCCCCACGCGCCACAACTCCCCACTCCGGCCAACAGGACGCGCGCGGCTGAACGGGACGAGAGCGGAGAAGCAGCGCCGGCGCCCCAACAATACAAATACGGGGATACGGGGTCCAGCGATGAAAAAAGACGATGAATACGGAGGGGGGGGGGATTTTGCAAGGGAAGGGAGCAAGTGAGCAGAACGTGGGCGCGCAGCTGGGAGAGAGAGGCGGAGAAGCGTCAAGGCTGCGCGCGGACGAATGCGAGTGCGAATGTGACGGGGTCCAGCGAATACGAAATACGAAGTGGAAGGGAAGGAAAAGGAAGGAAGGCGAGGGGCGGGGAGGGGAGGGAGGAGAGAGGGAGGGAAGTGAGGGCTCGTCTCAACAGAGTGAGGGGAAGGACAGCGAGCGGAAGGCCACGAAGGGAGGGCTCGTCGTGCTCACGGCGCCCGCCGCCGGCGACATGCTGTGAGGCCCGCACGCGCAGCCCGTCTCAATCGTCCTCTTGGCGGAGCGGCGTCGCACATCTGGGCGAATGCGTCCGCGTCCGCGTGCCATCCGCCCCCGAAGGACATCGCCCACCCGCCCTACGGGGGACGCCGCCCAACCCGGTACGAGGGACGGAGGCACATCGCCCGGCGGACGAGCGTACACGAGGCGAAGGGGACGGAGGGAGGGCGCACGACGAGGGCGTGCGGAGACGAAGGCGCACAGAAGGGGTTGCACGAAAAGCAAAGAAAGAAAAAGGAGGATGCGAGTAGTCTCTCCTAGACAGACGCTTCAACACATACGACGCTCGTATGTAGGATGCGAGCCACGAAGTGAGGAAAGAAAAGAAAAGAGCGAAGCACAAGACACACGTATCGCCACACGCACACCGCCGTCGTCACCCGCAGACGGCTCCGAGTAAGAGGGAAGGGAAGCGCTCAGCGAAGGAGAGTGAAGGTGAAATGGAAACGATTGCTGACCCACTGGCACACCCGCAGCTCGTGGTGGGTCGTCCTCCAAGCGCAGCCTGCGGGGTCGAGTGAAGCCCGCGTCCCCGTCTTTCCTCGTCCGATGCAGGCGCGCGCGCAGATGCGGATAGAGGCCCATGTCGGCGCCATGCTCGAGGAGAGATCCGGAAGGAAGGGCGTCCATCTCTCCTCCAGCGTGACGAGGCGAAGTACCTGCTCGTGCACTGCCAGTTTACTAGTCTGGTTCTGCGAGGACGCCCGTTGGCCCGCGTGCGGAAGATGATCATGAGGAGGTAAAGAGAGGTGCACCGCTTGGCACCTGCACCGCTTCCTTCCCTTTCGACGGCGACAGCATGAGGATGAAAGGAGAGCGAAAAGGAAAGCGAAGACGAAAGGCATCGTGGGGTCAGCGCTGGGGATGCGCCCATCACACATCGTCCTCTCCGGGCCTGTAGGGCGGACATTGCGGGAGGGGAAGGGGGCAGCTCGCCGTCGTCCCCTTGCCATCCGCCCCGCCTTAGTACGATGGACAGGAGCGCATCGAGCGCGCATGAGCATGACGATGACACCGGGCGCACGGGGCGGAAGGGAGGGCGCACGTCGAAGGGGTGCTCGAAGGGCGGGCGGTGCACTAAAGAGAGCGCACAGTACAAAGACGAGGACGCGGTACACGAAGAACCGACAGTGCGAAGAATCGGCAGTGCGGAGAACCGCCATGGCATAGCAACGAAAGGAAGGAAGGAAGAGGGACGTACGAGCCAGCGAGGGCACGAAGTGAGAAAGTGCGGAAGGAAGGAACAGGAGAGAGAAGCGCGGAATAGAAGGAAAGTGCCCTGGCAGCTTGTGCGGTACGCTTGTGCCCTCGAGGAAGAAGCGCATGCGGACGCCGTGCTCGCGCAGAAATCCCGCCCGCGCGGCGGAAGGGCGGGCGCCCACAAGGCGGACATCGCGCCAGTCGTTCGGTGAGGGAGAAAATTCATTGGCAATCATATGATCGCTCCATCAAATGTTGGAGTCCGCGCGGCCGGCATCAGCGGCTCCCACGGTTTGCAATGGAGATTGCCGAGGCATATCCAGGTACATAAACTCGTCGCCTCGTTATAGGACCGAGCCAGGAACGAGATAGCACACCCTCCGAGCTTCTTGGGCCAAATAGGCCGCGCCGAGCCTCCCCCATCGGTTCCTCTGTCGACAACGTCTCTTCCGTTGGCTGTTTGATGAGGCCAGAAAGCAACTTGATTAACTGACGCCAGCAGATGGAAGGGAAGAAAACATAGTTACATGAATGACGAAAGATACTTACCATTACTAATCACCTCTCGAATTGAACCGAAGAGGGGAGGCACGAGACCGGGACAGGCACTGCGGTCGGTGTGGGGTATTTGGACGGTCGACAATCAATTGCAACTGTCAATGCATGGGCGACTTCAAATCAGCAGGATCTATTTGTGTCATGGTCAATCCTTATCAATGCTTCTATTTGAAGTCTCAACCGTTTTATCCGGCCACTCACTGCGTTCATCGGCTCCCTAGCCACGAGCGGAGTCCAGCGTTGCTATGTGCTCCTATTTGGCTCGTACAGCCCTCCATCGAGGTCGCCTAGACACAGCCTGATCTTGTGTGTCAACAAATAGGTTAATCCCCAAGACCCGTACGCCTGTTGCGAAGCATCCTCCGAAGATCTGTCTGTGGCGCTTGACACATGTGTCTATTCGCGAACAGCTATTTCTGGAAGTGATCATCTCTCATGGGCAAAGTAGATATTCGAGCACTGGGCGTACAGTACTTTCTTTGGCTCCCCTGTCGTGTCTACCATGCTCACTCGTTGCTTCAACTTGGACATGGTCCCCATATCAAAGTTTTCTCACAGTCGAAAGGTCCTCAGAGTCTTTTTCCATCACAAGTCTAAGAGACTAATTTGACATGCAATCTGCCAGTCAATAGCTTCCATATCAATCTGAACCCTTATCGTGAACCCTCTGTACAGCCCACGTCCTGCTTTGGCTCACTCTCCGCCTCCAACCCACATAAATAGACAGCTCTCGTAGAAGGCTATCAGAGAAGCCTGGTCGTCGCTCCCTTTCCACCCTTCGTTCTGCTTTTTTTCTTTCCTCGACCCAGAGTCATTTTCCTTCTATCCCTATCCTTTTTTGTCCGTCTTCAACCCAATGTCGCAAGAGGTGAGCATCGCGGTTGATCTCATATCTTCTTGACAGCCATGGATAACATACCTAGGCTCAGCAGCCGCCTGATTTCGGGTTCTGGTTTGATATAGCCTGCATGTGGGTGAGTGCTCACTATCTCACTCTCATCAATCGAAATCATATCTTTCCGGGTCCCAGGCCGGGACATTCTTCTACGGTAATGTGGCATTTAATAAAGTGGAAAGCCGAACTCAAATTCCTGGCGCAGGAATCTACCTTGTCCTTTTCTCCATATGCCTCCACATTCTTCTGCATCGGCCACGCAACGCTGCAAACAGCATCCTATTGGCGACTACCATCCTTCTTTTCACCCTCTCCACGATCCAGGCGGTTTTGAACCTGGTTTTGGGTTCGATAGATATTTTGGGAGTAGACCTCCCAGAGGACGCAATTGGATTCGCAGACGATATGCTTTATGTCGCAACCAAGTGAGTCTGCGTTGCGTGCTGAACGCGGCTCTGTGTTGATATTATCTCCCCCATTGAATAGCCTCGTCGCAGATAGTCTTCTGGTATGTCTCTCCTTGATCGTTGAGGTAGAGATGTTGAATAGTATCCAGATATACCGCTGCTGGATAGTCTGGAATCGCAACATCTTCATTATCATTCCAGGCTTTGTGGGAGTAGTGATCACAAGTGGTGAGGTGTTGAACCAGACATCCCGAATTGAATCATCTAAAAACCCCAAATAGTTTTTGGATGGGACCAGAAAATTCACCAAGAAATTCCGGGTCTAGCCCCCTTCTACTCCCTCACCCTGGCTACCAACATCGTAGTTTCGATCCTCACTGGTGAGCGATCCGATCTTGTACACACTTACAGATGTTCACTTCGGGCTCAGCGGGGAGAATCTGGTGGATTTCCCGTCGATATTGCCCGATGCAATCATCGAAATCGAGTGCGAAATCGCCTTACGGATCGACAATTGCCATCATGTACGTCGCAGCACGGCACGAGAAGCTGGCTCAGAAAATGCTTACGATGCGCTACCCTAGTCTTGAATCTGGCATTATATATTCTGCATTCGTCGTGGCAAGGATAGCGGTTGATAACGTTGACCCTGTCACTGTGTCTTTCATGGTCACGGAGATGCTTCGTCAGATTATGGTACGTCCATATCCTACGAATCCTCCTGAATCCAATTATGATATGTACCTAGGGAATTGTCCCGACTCTGATTATTGTACGCGTCGGGCTGGGTATAAGTATCGAAAGTTCCAGCTCCACGGGAGCCGCAAATGGAGCGAGATCTGGGGCAGGCCAGTGGCAGATTGGCGCGCCGACGCTCGACAGCGAGACCAGTTTCGCAGGGGAGACGAACCGCAGTTTTCTCGGGGGGCTGCGCTCGCACCAAAGCGATGTCGAGAAAGGCTTGGACCCGAATCCAGGGCCCGACGATCGTTCGTATCACTATAACGTTGGAAAACCTCAGGGAGGGAGATTCTAAGTGCTGGAGATGGATGAAATGGACTTGATTTTGAACAAAAACCTTACCTTGACAGTCGTATGATACTGTATAATTTGACCACGAACAATTGAATGAAAGGGTGAACTGAGATGTTTCTGGCTGCTGGAAACGTCAATGAGCTGAAAAATTTCAAAGTCATGAATAAGGATGGAGCAAGTTGGAGCTCCAAACCAAGCGCGGCAGCCATGCTATGAAGTAGTATCGCATCTGCTTACCTTTCGTGAGGTCGACACAAGAATTTCCGCCGAAGACACCCGTTTGACGGGTTGTAAGTTTTGCGCTGACCATTTTTTCCCGCTTAGTTCGTGTGATTTTTTGTCATCGTTCCGTGGGGCTCATAGCTTTATTCAGGCTCGCATTCCTGCGTCGAAGGACCCAGTGCTGAAATGGTTCGCATCCGCTTTCTCTGAAGGTACTCGTGCAACAGGTTCCGCGGGAGGCACCCGCTCGATTCGGGTCTGGGTCATGCCTGGAAAGTTTTCAGGACTTTTTTCTATTCTACTTGTTTGGTAACGTTCCGTGAGACTCACGGACTACAGTGCTCTTCGACTCTAATGCGACCAAGGAGCACTGTGCCCTGAACTTACTGTATTTCAATTCTGCTGCAATACGATATTCGGTTCACGGTGGGTTTTACTTCATATCTGAATCATCCTCCCTTCATGCGCTGCTACTCAAGCTGGCATTCCTACATACCAGCATGGGTCCAATGACGAAATGGTTATAACTTGTGTCTAGTTTAAACGATGTGCAAAATATTTCCGCGGAGGACACCCGTTCGATTTGGGTCATGACACCTTTGTGTTGTATTTTTTTCCCCCTTCGTTTTTCTTACCCTTGGCCGGCTCAGAGTCACATCTTCAATGGCTGGCTGTCTTTTTCTTTGTTTTGGGATCCGAGTCGCCGGTCTTTACTTTTTTTCTGACGCTTATACATCCTTCACGCTAATGCATTTTTGGAGGAGGACCAGCCTAGGCAATCACAGCCTTGTGCAGACCGACCGGTGATGTTGAACTTTTGGATGCCATACCATGGAGATGTTATTCGAGCTGGGATATTTAGGTGCATGGACCCAGTGGCGAAGTGGTATCGCATCTGCTCAACTTAATCATTGGGATAATATACTTTGCGGAAGATACCCGTTCGATTCGGGTCTGGGCCATGCAATGGTGTTGATGAGGAGTTTTTCTTTTCTCCCCGTTTTCTCAATTTGCCTCACTGCTTCTTATCGTTCCTAAGAGCACTCGGAAGAACATCGTACCTTGACCGCACGTTTTTGAGGTCAAAGCGAATAAAATATAAATTAGTGGCACGTCAGGGGTGGTCTGAGATAATCCATTGAATTTCCTACATACTCTAGCGTCTGAGGGAAAATGAGCGTGCGGCGCTGAATATTAATTCGTTCGCCAGACTAGATGTTTACATTCCACACGCAGTGCCGAACGAACCAAGCAGGACAGTAGATCCTGTTGCTAAGCGGGACTTCCGCTGCATCGATGCAAGCGTGTATTAATGCAATTTGTACTGTGCTTGGGATGCCCTGGCTTGAATGCAGCCGCGCTCGTCTCAGAAGCGATGGATGGAGGGGAGAGGAAAGGGCGAAGGGCTCCACTCCGCCACTCCCCACTCCCCACACACCATTCTCCACTCCGGCGAACGGGACGTGCATGGCTGGACGGGACGAGAGCCGGCGCCGAGTCTGCGCTCCAAAGAAAAAAATACGGGGTCCAACGATCGAAGGAGAAGACGAATACGGGGTGCAAAGTAGAAAAGAAGGGAGTAATTGAACAGGACGTGGGCGCGCAAGTGGGCAACTGCAAGAGAGCGGAGGAGAAGCGCCAAGCCAAGGTTGCGCTCGGACGGATGCGAATGCGAATGCGATGGGGTGCAACGGATAAGAAATACGAAGTGGAAGGGAAGGGGAGGAAGGACTTCGAGGGAGGAGAGAGGAAGGGAGGATTCATCGTGCTCGCGGCGCCCGTCGCCGGCGTACTGTGAGCGCACGCGCCGCCCGTCTCTAATCTTGGCGGAGCGGGGTGCCCGTCTGACATCCGTGCGCGCACATCCGGGCGAATGCGTCCGCGTGCCATCCTCGAAGGACATCGTCCCACCGATGTCCCACCCACCCTACGAGGGACGGCGTTTAATCAAATACGAGGGGCGGGAGGCACATCGCCCGGCGGACGAGCGTACACGAGGCGAAGGGGACGGAGAGAGGGCGCACGACGAGGACGTGCGGAGACGAAGGCGCACAGAAGGGGTTGCACGAAAGCGGGGCATGTGCCGTGCTCAATAAGCCGAGAAAGGGTGCGAGCCACGAAGTTAGAAAGGAAAGAAGGAAGGGAAAGAAAAGAAAAGAACGAAGCACAAGACGCACGTTGCCACGCCCGCCACCGTCCTTTGATGGCCAGCAGCTTTGGAGCCCCCGCCACACGCACACCGCGCCGTCGTCGCCCGTAGACGCCTCCCAGTAAGAGACTCGGAGAAGGGAAGGGAGGGAGGACGAAGGGAGGTGCTCAGCGAAGGAGAGTGCAGGTAAAGCGGAAACGATGTGCTGGCAGCTCGTGGTGGGTCGTCCTCCATGTGCACCGGTGAGCGCTGGCGCTGAGCGCGCAGATGCGCATTGTGGATGGGGGCTCTCAGGATTCAGGAAGAGGTCCATGTCGGTGCCGTGCTCTGGCTGAGATCTGGTTCAGTAGGCGTGTAATAATGAGGAGGTAAAGAGAGACAAAGAGGGTGCACCGCTTCCTTCTCTTTCTTGACATTCGAGGTCGACATGCAGAGCTCTGACAGAATCTAGTACAGCGGAATCCTCGCTAAAAACCTCCCACAACATCTGGTCGGCTGCATTCGTCAAAATCTCAAGCCCCTCCGCGCAAAAAAAAAATGGAGGCTGTTCCAACTTCCAAGTTTTCCTGCCAGTGGCAAACATCCGCAAGAGTGTTATTCGACCCGGGACGCTGAGCATGAGAGACCAAGCGGCGCTTCCGCCGTAGCTCATGTGTGTGAATTGAACAGTTCTGCGGAAGGTACCCGTTCGATTCGGGTCTGGTCATAGCCTTCCGGTACCTTTTTCTCGGTAATTTGTTTAACCTTTGCGCGCAGTTAGCTCACAGCTCTCTAATGGAGCTCGCATTCCTAGATAGGGACGGACCCAGTGGAGAAGTGGTCTCGCATCTGCTCAGCTTGTAATAGTCTGCATTTGGTCTGCATAATTTCTGCAGAAGATACCCGTTCGATTCGGGTCTGGGTCATTATTATTCTGTGTTGTTGTTTTTTTCCATCTTTTCTTTTCTTCCGTTCATTTCTAATACTTTCCTCGGTGCTCGGTCATCTTCGACCCTCATATGCTAGAAAAAACCCAACTACCTGAACCCAGTTCAAGTGATCATGGAATTTCAGCTGGGAGATAAATATTGGATTAAAGGTGGTACTTCAGGTCATCCTCTCTGAATGTCTTATTCATGCTGATATTCGGATGTATGGCATGGACCCAGTGGCGAAGTGGTTTCGCATCTGCTCAACTTGATCATTGGGATAATATACTTTGCGGAAGACACCCGTTCGATTCGGGTCTGGGTCATACTGAGTCTTTTTTACCCATTATTTATTTCCCCGGTTTTAACTTTTCTGGCATCGTTCGGTGGGGCTCACAGAAACTCAGAAAACCGCGGGTTGTGTATTGGCACGGCACGGGGAAGGCGCGCACGAAGACAGACGGAAGGGCGTGGAAAGTCTAAAGACGCGGTACGCGAAGAGCCGAATGTGTGAAGAACGAAAAGTTCGCAGACAGCAAGGAAAGGAAGAAAGAAAGAGGGACGTGCGAGCCAGAGCGGGAAAAGATATCGGCCTCCTGGGTGGAATCCACGCCGCCGACAGTTTGTGCAGTCTGGTTCTACATGGAGGGCGGGGGCGCGGGCGTTCCCTTCGATCGCTGTATGACCGTGCGAGGCGCAGAGGGCGGCTGATGAGAGCGAGGGGTAAATAGAGGTAAAGAGGGTGTACCGCTTTCTTCTCTTTCTTGACATTCGACGCCGACTGGGCATCTGTACAGCCCTGCAGGACTAGCCCAACGGAAAACTCGCTACGACCGTCGAACAATGTTCGGCTCTCGTCAAGATCTCAAGCCCGTTCCACTCGGAGTCAACAGCTACTTTTCGGCCGGGTACCGGGTAAACATCTGGAACGTTTTCGATGCTATGTGGCTTGAGATACCTAGCAGGAGCATCAGCTTAGTGGCGAAGTGGTTTCGCGTCCGCGTAGCTTACGTAGACCCATGATAATAATTCCGCTGAAGACACCCGTTCGATCCGGGTCTGGGTCATGCAGCGTTTGCGCAGCACTTTTTCGCACTTTAGTCGTTTGATTTTTTCTGGCTCACAGCTCTCTCTTCAAGTTGGCTTTCCTAGGTAAGACGTGGACCCGGTGGCGAAGTGGTTCGCATCCGCTCTCTTTGTACCAAACGTCTCTGAGTCGCTTCTGCGGAAGGCACCCGTTCGATTCGGGTCTGGGTCACTAGCCTTTCAATATGATTTTTCTCTCTTCCTCTTTTGTTTGTTTCTGGCATGGTTGTCTGTGCTCTGTTCTCGGTTGGGTTCCTCAATGCTCTCGTCGACTCATGCTGGGAGAAAAACACAAGCACCTGAACCCTGTTCAACTGTAATTTCCCCTCAATTAATTCCAGGTTTGTGTTCCTTCACATCGCCTCGCTTGATGTACTATTCAAGCTCAAAAGTTTCTGCGGAAGACACTCGTTCGATCGGGTCTGGGTCATCACGATTCTTGCCGATTTTTTTTTTTTCCTTTTCCCCTTTATTTCATTGCATTTTTTGGGACGTAACACTTTATTTCATTTGACTCGTACGTTTTTCTATCATCCCGACGCGCCTGCACTGAGTTTCATCCTCAAGTCACATCTTTAGACTTGAATAAACTGTCCAGACGCCGATTTTATGGAAACCCGGAGAATCACGCTTTTTTTAGCGAGCGTCGGCAGGATGCCGGCTGATGCCAAGTGATCTCGGCTGCCATTTTCGGTTGTAAGACCCCGGAACTAGACATGCGCGCCCGTCCAGCCACCGTTCACTCACGCATTTTGGCCTCCAGCGTCAGTTCGTATAATGGGTAGTCCTCCGACTGAATCCAAATCACTTGGGGGTGAAGGCCGTGGCATGCCCGGCAAAACTCGTACTTATGTCCTCTTTAGTACTGACTTTGGTACTGCTGAATAGTACATATGGGGCAGGTTGCCAGCATTTAATGTCCATTGAGTTACTCGGAGTCCGCCAGAGTTTTACATAAGGTACTGCTGAATTATATGACCGCTCACCCCATAGTTGGCGAGCATATCCACTGCGTTCCCGGGAGGATGTTCGGAGCTTGAAAGCCTTCAGTACTGGATCGAACGACAGCACAAGCGAATGTTTTCCGGTTGCTTATTTATTAAATTGAAAGCTGAGAGAATTCTGGCAGGGATACATGTATAGAGATCATTGTAAAAGCCCATGTGCGCTAGGTAGTTTACGGCTTCACATCCCAAACAGATGTGATGCACTCATAGCGAGCGATCCATAATGATTCTACGGAGTCATCATTAGATAAGTTTACAGATCGAGTTATTTAAATACCTTGCTGCATATCCCTAGGTTCTATGGGAGCGACGTGGATAAAATCCACAGCACAAGTCGATTCCTCGCAGCCCATGGGACCGAGGCACCAAGTCACGACGTACTTTTCAGCCCGTGATTGTTCACCCACAGAAGTTCGTAGAATGGGAGTAAGAATAGACTATCTTTCTGGCATGTCGAGCGAACGAGGCTGGGGCAGGTTAGGTTGTCACCACATCCTCCGACGGCGAAGTGATATTCGCGCAATTGAAGGCCACAGCGCTGAGCCTGTCAGTCAAGCTTCTTGAGTTCCCCGATGTCGGTCACACATTCAATCGGAATGTATTCGTGATTAGCCAAGGTCATTCCTTCTTGCCGATGAGCGAAGGCTAAACAAGGAGTAAGAGCGTACCGTTCAGGGTCAGATCCGGATAGTGAATAGGGAAGCCTTGCGCGCATGCGAAAAGACCAGTCAATTGCTGTCGGATGACACTGGCCCGCGGATTCTCCCTGCTGGAGACGTGTATTTGGATTTCTGCCGGGTATTTCACGCTATTCTTGTGCTTGAGGACGATGGTTTTGGAAATCATGTGGTGCGGGTGCTTCATGGTGGCGCTCTAGCTTTGTAAGTACTTTTTTTTTTTGCAACAGGCAAGCACATACCGGCATGTATTTGGTCGTGACCTTGAAGTATCCAAGCATCCCAAATAGAGTGTGGCTGGAGACATAGAAGTCGATGATAGATGAATCACGTACGGATCTGTAAGGGTGCATGAGAGCGTTGGCTGTGGGGCCAGATATGAGATTGTCGGTGTCGTAGAGCATGACTTTGACTGTCATCCAGTTGAGTCCCCATTGCTCAAACGACGACTCAAAGAAATTGCGCATAATATCAACAAAGTAGGAACAATAGTAAGGATGCGTTTCCGCCATCGCAGTGATGTCCCGAATATCGAAGTGCTTGAACACCCGTGTCCGGATCTCGTCAGGGAGTTGCTGCCATCCCTTTTTGCCCGGTTGAACTTTGGAGAGTAAGCGAGGGTACGACTCGTCAAAACGCACATACAGTTTAAGGTTTTCCAGCCGAACATCAGCTGCTCCCTGCGGCTGGGGAAGTGTTTCTCAACAATCTTCCAGTGTCCAGGGGACGCCATCCCTACTGTATATAACCGCAGGTCTGACCACAGTGACATGAGGGCCTCCAAAGCGGATGTTTGCTTGACGTTGATCAGTTGGTTGATCACAGCTACGTCGGCCAGGTAGCGCTCTGCGAAGCCTAAAGATATGGGTGAGCTCGAGTAGTGATGGTGAGTTTTCAGAATCTCAGTCTTTTATCTTGGTCGCCACAGTATGCAGGGTGGCCAGAGCAGAAGGATGCGGAATAAGTTTAGGAGAGTGGGTGTGGTTGAAAAGTGCTGCGGTTTGAGTCACACAGAACCACCGAAACTGATGCCAGGCAGGTTTGCCCGAGGTCCAGAGGCAGGTAGATGTCTTCGAGGTTTAATGAGGTCCAGCGAATGGGTGTGTTATTAGGAGCAATGGACGTGATCATATATAGGACGTTCATTACCCACTAATTCGATCGTGGGGTGATGCAGGCAATTTGATTAGCAACAAGTATTTCCCATCTTACACGGTGGCAACTGTGGATCGAACTTCGTTGGTAATCTTATACGTAACTATTCCATGCACGATTCGGGTCTGTTAGAGTTCATTGGCCGTGTTTACACTGCGTACCTTTTGAGGGCCACTCTTCCCATCAGAGTGAATAGGTTTCATTATATGCCGAATCAGGTTCGCACAAATTAAGGATAAATATCGCGCCTAAATGGAATTTCCCGCATCAATCTCTCCGTCGGAAGGAGGCGGGATCGCGTGATCGGGCCGTCGCAGTCAGCTGCAGCAACTTGGAATTATAACTACTCATACAGGTAGTTGTTAGGTTCGGATTTGGCACGCTGTTGAAATTCATTTTTAGTTTGTTCGGCGGACTTTCCCCGCGTCGCTTAACACGCATTGGCAAGAATGAACAGGTTAAAGCATAGGAGTCTCAGATTGAACCAGGTACGCCAGAATTAAATTAGGTGGTCATGTGAACGCTTCATGTATCGAAACAGGGCCTCAGATTTGAACATGTCGAATTGGAATCAGGGTTCTACTTCTCTGACTTTGACGTCATTGGTTGCTCTTGGCAATGACTTAGCAGCTCCGATAACTCAATCAGGCATTGACATTTATCTCCTGATTCGTTTGACTTGAATGCAAAGATTTTGGAACGTCAACTCGTTGTCTGTTGTCTTTCGTGAGGGTCCGACGAGTGAACGCAGGAAGGGACATGTAATCTGGTGCATTCAGAACGACCGGATTTCACCTCAATTCATGTGATAATCGGCTTAGGTCTTCGGGAGTGGGTCTCTCGTATCGCCGTTCTCAGTAAGTCAATTGATGCGGTATATATAGATGTGAACTCGTGTTACGAAGGCGTAGTCGACATAAAAGTTATTTAGGCAGGTCAGAAATTGAGGAGTTGCACACGCAAAGCGTGTTCCACCGGGATTCTTACAGCGACATCAGATGCAGGGAATGTAGCGGAAAAAATAACGCCACCTTTAATAAGATCTCTGTGAGCCAAAGCGACAGCGCAGACCCAATTGGTACTGCCCATAGTCTTTTTTTTGCAGTCCATGGGACCGAGACACCAAGTTGCCACAACTTTCTCCTGCTTGGTGGTGTCCTCGGCACCCCAGAGCGAATCGTAAAAAGGAAATAAGAATATACTGTCGTTCCAAGTAGACCGCATGACACTTGGGCAAGAAATATGCTCACCGCATACAGTATCCTCCTCATCAAATTTGAGCATCTGGAGACCGCATCGACGCGCAAGAGAGTCTAACTTCTTAAGTTCATCGACGTCTCCGATCTGTCCTTCCATTTCACGGAAGACGGTCGTCAGCGGTTTGAGGAATACATTTATATTGCCTTCGGGATCAACCCATTCAACGTCCGCCTAATGAATACACAATGAGCGGAGAGGTGCCAATAAAAATGGGACACTGACCCGAGATCCCATGCGCATGAGGCTTCGAGTGCCTTGATAGGCAAGTAAGTGAAGTGCTGAACACTGCTCATTGAAATATTCTTCGAAATAACGGGCGCTCCACCATAGATTCGACCAATCCGGGCAGCAAAGCTTCAAACAATTTGAAGGACTCTTGCACCAATCGCTAGGAACGCAGGTCACAGTTTGGCAAATACTCCCAAGCAGTGTTGTGCGAAACTCCCCCAGACCTTCGGTGCTCTCTACTCGGCCGCATGCCTGAATCATATGTGAATTTAGACAACAATGCAAGAATCACACATAATTCAAATTATCCAGTGTGTCATACTTGCCATTTAAGCCATCAATAAGCTCGGTTGGCTCAATAGGAATCGAGGTAGGGAAGAGAGGCTGCCAATTATACGACGTAAAGAGGACGCCATGAGCATGCAGTACTCCAGAAAGGATCCGGAGAGGGGTTGAAATTAAAATTCATACAGATGGCACAGGAGGGGTGGGGATGTATGAAAGTGGAAGATAGATCTCCCAATTTTATGTCTTGGAGCATCATGCCTGATGAAGAGGAGTAAGGATGCCAGCCTGATCTCACAGCTGATACTTCTAGCAGGAAGAGACCCCGCAAAAGCCGGGCTTTGTAAAATCGCGGACTTTGACTTGAAGACAAAGAGAATGTGCACACAGATGCAGGTATTCGAACTTAGCAGAATAAAATTTGCTTAGCATAAGCTGGATAGGTCTGACCCTTTTTCTTCACCAAACCAACAGACCTGGGAGAGCTCCGCAATAAGTGCCTTGGTGGCCGTGCCCCAAAAATATTTGACAGGCATTGAATCCTGTGTGAGATCCTAAGA